CCGAGGTTACGACCTTCATATCGATCCCATTTGAAACCTTCTACGTTCCTTTTTGGATACAATATTTTTTTTAGCAGAGAAAACGGATTTGCAACACGTGCTGCTCTTCTGAATTATTTATCTTTGTTTCGTCTTGTTTGAACTCTTAAAGATGACGAGGAACAAAACCAACAAAATAAAGGAGCTTTTTAAACGGCATAAATGAATGTTGAAAGGGATGTTTAGAAGTACAATTGTAAAGGTGCACGCTCACTGCGGGGAAGAGAAGCGAAATTATCCCGCTGGGTTTTTTAACACATAATCAAATTAATGACGCATGAGCGGCGTGTTCATACAATTAGTCCACAGCCCCCCCCATTTGATAACGCTGCAGTCTTGAACTGTCTTCCCTGCCCCACCGACAGAACCGACCATCTGGAAACTTTGTCATGACTAACCTCACTACTCGGTCACCCATCAGTCAGACCCCACCGCGATACAGGTACTATATCTAAGGTTGCGTTGCTGTGACGCGTATATTGAAAATAATTCTCAATCGCTAAGTGTTAGAGGCAAATGTCCGGGGAAATCTACGATGCGTGAAATGTCTAATGGGTGTGTAGAATTACCGGGGCTGGAAGAGAAGAACATATACACCCTCTCCCAACCCCAATTTTGTACCCTTACATCATTTTTGTATGAAAATGACGAGGTGATTCTTAAACATCAAAAATCGAAGCTTGAACAATACTTTTTTTCGTTTTTTTGCCTGTAGCTCCACGGCAAATGAATTGATTTTCAAAAGCTGCGATACTTTCCAAGTTACAGTAGGGCCAAGAATTAACGGACAGATAGACGGAAAAGAATGACAGTTGGCATGGGAAGTAAAAATATGGACAAAAACAATACAGATGTACATCTAGCTGGCAACCTGACCAGTACACTTAGCAGGATCAAAAAGCGAATCCTTACTAACAGTATCTATAAGTCAAGGTTAAGTGTAGGGCATCGGTCAACTAAACCATAATTATATCGATACAATTTCAACACGACCTTTTTGTATTTACATTCTTGCTATCGAGACAACGTTCAAAACAGACAAACTAATTGTCGAGTGCGCTTGTGGCAGAGAAAACAATCTGTTGACCTAAAAAGCCGGTGCATTTGTCGCTTTAAATTCCTTATCTTACCGTTCATTGGCCCGCGGCTACACAGAATACCATGCGCTCGGGTGCGATGTTCTCTACCAGTATTAGGTGCATACTTTTCTCTTTCTATCTCTGGTCTGGAGAAGCTAGCGATATAAAAATACCTCAAAGAAATGCCAACCGATGTAAAGTATTACCTTGGGGTCTGCTATAAAGGTGTCCACACATGTTCTAAAACAGTTCAGGCAGACAGGCTCAGGGATGTTAAAAGGGTACAATGAAAGAAAATGCTAAGGAGAAAATATGATTCCAATATACATGTATGTACATCTGCTTAATCACAGCGCTCCTCAGAATTTAGAAAGTGGTGGCATCAGTGAAGATACCTATCACATGTATCAGTCATGGCCAGTATATTTGTAGTTAGTTGTTCTACTAAGAGTCGAGCTGCTCACAGATGGGCACGCTTGCACGGCGATAGATGAACAAAGAGTCCGCCTAGTCGTGGGTTCAAATCTCATCGGTTCGTGGTCAGTTTTACTTTCAGGGGTTTTCTAATGTTATCTGTGATATGAAAACAACCCTAAAGAGTGAGTGACTGATAAATGCAGACATCAGAATTGCTTATTGAACTTAAAAAAAAGGTATAGTATCCAGTGGCTCAGTAAATGAAAAATATAGACGCTCGTGTATGGCGGCCATTAGAGCGTGTCGCCTGTAGGTAGGCCTTTTGCATTCTTGGAGGGTTTCTGTCGTCTGGTTACCTACTGACATTATCCTTTTAACATTCTAATGGCGGGTAGGAATTAGCGTTTATTTTTAGGCTTTGCGATATATGTATATGCCATTGTTTTCATGTACCGTATTTATCGCCCCTATATCAGTTGCACGTGCGAAGAGACACCTGGAACTGTACCTTGGCAACCACGGGATGCCGCTTTGGTCACAGAGAAAGCTTGAATATAGCCATTTTCAGATAAAAATGGCGTCAAGTAACTCTATCAATCAGATGATGTTCGGTTTATTTGCAGGTCTAAATTGATCACAGCCATTAATTGTATGTGAGATATAGAGTCGACCTACTTGACGCAACATTTATTCAAAAGACTGATGAAATCAAAACCTGACTAGATATGATCACTTAACTAAGCTACATATACTTATTATTGTACAATAAAGACGTTTATTATTATTATGTGTATATAGTAAATCTCTACCTTTCTACATATCAAACTATAATAAATCACATTTCTGTTTTAATGGCAAATGTATGTATGTAACTACCGTGATATTCTCGGATGTAAAATCTACGTTAAATTAAATTGAGATACAAAAAAGCAATACGTCAAATTTCCTTAACGCTACCAGCGGAATTTTCGCCAGCCCTAGGTAAAATATACGCCACACGCCTATGGCCTGCGTGCAGGCAAAGAGAAGGTTGGATAAATATACCTGTACTTTTGCAGCCAAGGCAGGAATCAGAACTAAGTCATGTAGTGCAATTATTGTGATTAACTAAACTGAATTGAACTTATTAGAGTTTAAATTCAGCTGCTAGATGCATAATATTAGAGGGATCAGAAGTTTCTTAATAATAGAATGTGACCTTTCACTGATACCAAAAATACGATATTTTCTATCCCCACATCCTACTACCCCTAACCCCCAATTTTCAAGCCACTCAATACAGAATTTACTGAAAATAGCAGGAGTCTGAAACGCCAAAAAACGAATTTGAGCGATTCTTTTTTTTCATCAAAATCCGTGGCGTACTTTTCAAGTTATAGGTTAAACCGATAGAAATTAGTGACATTTTTTCGTAAAATCTTAAAAAACATTTTTTTAAGTGACTACAATGCTATGTGTTTGATCCTAGCTAGACTCGTTGCATATTTTGTTAAGGCGGGCATAGTAGAGAAAAGAAAAGTGAAAACGATGCGTTTCTTCACACCAACTTATGTTTGATCTGATAGGGCAATATACAATTTTGTTTGGACGAACAATGCTCGATACAGAAACGAAGTGTCATTTCACACGGTTTTCGACGATGTGTACTATTTTTGGAACTTGTGGTTAAAGGCAAGGTTAACAATACTTCTCATGAGAACAAACAAAACGTTTGATAACACGAACCGCAACGTCGTCATTGATTATTACTGTTTAGGATCTAGAAAATGAGAGAGATGACTGTAAACCGAAAGTAGTATTTTATACACTTTCGTTGGACTCTCTAGCATTTATCAATAACTTTCAAGAGATATTTTTTCATCTGACAACATACTGATTTCGAAGCTATGGGGCGTTATATGATCCATACGGGTGATTTATTCCTTTACTCATATCTTGTGTAAACACATGCATGATATTTTTTTTCTGCATAAACATTATTTTCATTAAAATTTCCATTAAAAAAATGACAAAAGTCATCTTCAAAGACCAAATTTTGCTCATTTCTTATCACTCATTTGTGGAAGCAAGAAACTGTTTTCTCCTTTCAGTGTTGCAACTTTATAAGATTAACTTTCACACATTATGTTGAAGATGATGGTAATTATTGACTCAAATAATTTTATATTAAAATTTCAGTATGACAAATTATTTCTTGCCTATCGTTCTGATGATAATTTGATGACTATTTGATGTCATTTGGGGATATGTAATGCTAATAGTTATATCTGCTAGAAATTACCTTTATGGACTGTATACTATCCATGCTAAGGTATGTTAGTTAATAGCAGACATTAAAACTTTATGGAATTTCTTTGTTCTCGCTATTTTGCAACTTCTGCTTATTTACCTCTGCATTCCTGAACGGCGCAAATATATTGCTCATTAGTATTTTCATTATTGCAAATGTTAATGAAAATTAACCAAATAATAATCAAGATTACGGTGACCCTCATAACTGTTCATCAGTGGTGTAGATAGCAATAGAGGGTGATTCAGAAAATAGTGGCGCTATTTCTAGGGCATAAAAAGAATAAAGAATAGCACGAAATGCCCATATTAACAAGGGTCCTTTCCGAGGAACAGAGCGAAGTTATACTTTCGAAATTAAGCAAAATATATATTTTCGGAATGAATTAAGATATTAGAATTGAACTCAGAGGTCGAATTCGATCCGACCGAATCCACCACAATGAGCTACATCTTCTAGTACAGAATAACAAATACTTCTTACATACCACAACATATTTAAATATTTATATGACCTCACGTTTACCAACACGACCTTAAAGTACTGTAGTAAACTTAAAGTCAAATCTCAGTTAAAGTGATTTGAATTTGTATTCTAGCAGTTAAATTGACAGTTCATGAATTTTTATAAATATAGTAGTATGAGGCAATAGCAATATATCCAATTGTTTCTTATTATTCGAATCCCAGACCTAGTTAAACAGAAACTAGAAATTGATATCAATGAACCATGAAAATAATTGCACATTAGAACATTAAATATTAAATTTCGTGATTTCTATCACATAATGATGTTTGTGCAATTAAGAATTTACAATTTATTTGTTTTCACGGTAATGTGGTTATGAAATACATCGGTATTATATGCTAGTACAGTTCTTGTATTGATCTTAAGGTTGCAGATGTCCTTAGAGGTAATAACTGCAAGTGAGAAACCACATGTTCTGGTATGATGAAATAATAATGCAGATGTTCATTCTTTTTTCTCATACATAACTATTTTTTTGCATTTCGGTTATCATATTTTGACATTTTCTATAAAAATATTGCCTATCTTTGTGATCTGGAAGAAAATTAGTTTTCCGGGTAAACAGGGTACGTAGATTCTGACTCCGATGATCATTTTAACCTTTCTGATATCGAATTTTAATATAACTGCAAAAAGTTAGTACTTACCACCAGTGCCTAACACCTTGAGCAAGTCGAAGTGTGACATATCCACTCTTCCAACACCGGATAGATTCACTGAAACCAAAAATAACAACTATAGACGAAGTAATACCAGTTGCAAAAATAATAATGCAAAATGTGCTTATTTTCTCTATTTTTTGTTATGCTTTTATTGCAAAGTATTGTGTAATTCACTAGAGGAACGCTGAAAGCCTTGTTTGTTTGCTTATTAGCTTCCTTCATGAAAGCATTATACAGAATACATTAATATTTTTCATTATGAATTAATGAAATATATAAAAAAAATCTGTTTTGTAGATGCTTTACTTTTGCAATTAATTTTCCGATTTTACTTTCCAACAAAGAGGGTCTCACACTTTAGGTGGATAAGTAAACTGATATTGGACACTAAAATCTCAGAAAACTTGTCTGCATTACATAAGCGGCAACATTTAAGCTCGAGTAACTCATACAATTTAATATTTTGGAGTCGCATTATCCATAGACCGTCAACAAACAAATACGAATATTTTGCAAATTAACTCTGAATACAGATCCGTATGTTGATTTGTGTGTGTTAATAATAAATTCAAGCTAAGGCGATAATTAAAATATTATTTTATTCCCGACTTTGATGTTGGAATATAAAACCAACCTACACTACACGAAAAATTAAATAAGTAGCAAGCGGTTTCATCAAAGCTCAGTGCGTGAGATGCTTGTATATACTGGTGTTCAAAAGTTTTGTAATTTTGTACCGGAGTTCCCAATGTGGAACCGACAACAGGGCATAAAAAGTGTTTAATCGCGTGGGTTTTGTATAAAAACACAACAGTGCACCAAATGCATTGCGACAGTGACTTCAGTAATTGCGCGAAACATTAAACATCAATTTTTCATGGTTTGCTACGTATAGACGCTCCATGTGTCGGCCATCGGCACCCTTAATATCAGTGGTGTGTTAACGGTACATCTCTTAAAGTATGTCAAATTTTGGCCTCTGGTCCAATCCGAGGTACTATTTGAAAGTTGGAGGAAATTTCGTATAACATTCCGATTACTCGTATATTAGATATCTAAAGCAATATTGAAATGTCATTTATTGCTAGATGCAGTCCTATTCGGATAGACCTTATAACTCCGATAGAGAATACTTTGCTTCTCTGATGAATGCCAAAAAGTATGAAACAGCTGTACAGCCGGACGAAAGCATTATTAATACTCAAATATTTAAGCCATATCATTATAGACTATGACCCCATCTCATGTTAGAGCAACTTGAGTTTTTATGGGATTTCAAGTTTAAATTGAAATGACAATTCTATATTCTTCGGAAAAAAACTTTACTGAATGTGGAATTTTGTTTTTCTAAGTGTGTATTGAACAAATTACAATCATTTCTAGTTAGGAACTGCCACTTCAGATACAAAACTTGTAGTGTATTCTTTCCATGCGACGATTTCTTATCTAAAAAACATAAACGGATATTGTTACATCCCGATTAGATTTTTAACTGGGATATATTTTTATCTTGTTTAAAAGCGTTCTTACCAGTTTATCAGCAGAGTATACATTTTAAAATGATTTTTGGAGTACCTTGACGACTGGAGGAAGAAACCTTTAAAATAGCAGTATGTATGATTTCATGTAGAACTTTTGGACAGTCATGTATACATGTTCTACACATAGAAGCGATAATTTTCTGACCATAATGAAAACTTATAAATTGAAATAATTTTGACACAGAACAATGAAACAGGAACACATGCTGTTACTACTTACTCGTGTATCGTAATTGAAATTTAACGATAATTTGCTTTTCAAATGGCTATAAAGTTACATTTTTATGTGTACTTGTCCGCTGCTGGTGAATGTTTTTCACGTATACAGCGAGTTCTCTAGATAATACTTCAACGCTCCAATCACTTTTGCAAGCATGGTGACGCAAATCATTTATGAATGAATTGACATCCAAGTGGGAATGGGGTGAATGGAAAAGGTATTATATATTTTTTTGCGGATCTACACATGCTAGCCCCCAATACCCGCCTTGAGCTTGGATTCTACCTTACATTCTACTTTTGCTCCTTTTTGCCAGTTATGGCTATAAGGAACTTCTAACTTATGTTTTTTCCTGTCCTACCATTAATAGTTTGTTGAGATAACCGAGTATTCAGTTCATTGAAAACTAGCTCGATGCTGAAAAAAATAAATTGTTACATTTTGTTTCAATGTAAAAACCTTTACTAAAGTTTGACTAATTACTGTGAAAAAAAATGTATCAGACTGAATCGGCAAATGATCTTAAAGACTTAAATTTACATGGATTTTTTGCAACATCATCTACCCTTTCTTATGGAAGATGTGCCTCTTGAGATAAGAAGGATGCAGTTACAGAACCATGGTTGCCCTTCATACTATGCTAGTGCAGTAAGGGGGTACCTTAATGTAACGTTCCCTAGAAGATTTTGTGGCTCCCACGCCCCCCAGACCTGAACCGTCTGGATTTTTTTACTAGGGGTGTTTAAAAGATAAGGTCTATGTGAAACCAGTTCGATCAGCCGATGAACTGCGTCATCGAATTCGTCAAGCATCACCCTAAATATCCAATTTAAGATTGAGACGTTTAAAAAGACAATTTTTTAAAACATGCAGGTTGTGCATAAGAGTTGTTGGTAGACATGTTGAAAATCTGTTGTGAAAATAATAATAATAATCATTTATTTTGGGCAATATTTACATTACAAGATGTTAATTTAATTTTCATTTAGTTAATTCAAGATAATAATAATGATTCCTAATTCTTTATATGATTTGAATGTTGTAAACATTAATGGAAATGAAAAAATATAACCATGTTCTGTTAATTATTTTGATCCCTGCATAACAATGAATAAAAAAACGGTAATGGATAGGTGTTAGACATTTGAGACAATAAAAAGCTATTACAGCAACTACAAAGTTGTAATTTGGGCACAAAAGACAGCTGCACTTAATATTTTTTTATAGCCACAACAGGCCAAAAAGGAGCAAAAAGTAGCGATATTTTTGAAAAAGCTTCAAAGTGGCAATATCTCTAAAACTAGAAAACTTTTACAAAGGTCATGTTCATCTGAAGCTAATCTAGCTCAAGTGTCACTCTGGCGTGTTATTTCTGGGACACTCTGTATTGCGTGTTATTTCTGGGACATCCTGTATAAAGCATAAATTCAAGTAGTAATGGCAGACAATTTGTAATATATTACAGTAACTAAAAACGTGACAATCGACTTATGAAATGCCACAAGTCGTGCCTATAATGTTATAAAAATATTTATACAAAACAAAGAAAACAAACTGGTATGATACGTTATGATACGTGCCAAGAGGCTCCATTAAAGATACAGTTAAATTATTTCGAAAACTTGTTTGGAATACCAATAGGTGGTTTAATTGGTTAAACTGATAACAAATTCCCGTTACATATGATAAGGATCTATTTCCTTTGAGGCAAATGAATAAAATTTTCATTATCTTATGATAAAATTCACATTCGAACTCATGAATTGTTAAGAAGTCTACAAAACTATTCAAGGTCTTGCTACAAACGTGCTAATTCTGATTTGAAGCGCATTGTTCGAGTGACAATAAATGATGAATTTTAAAAATACTAATAACATATTTTTATCATATTTGCAGCATGCAACCACAAAGGTTATCTATACAGCAAATATAAACAACTTTATTCCTGGTGATATGCAAAACCGATAAGAAACGATCACCAACCATGGTTCATTAAACAATTAACAGCAATGTAGCTAAGGCACATGATTTTCGTCAGTGACAGTATGGTGTATCTGAAGTTACTTGAAATAGCATAAAAACCTTTGGTCGGCGCGTCCTTTGTAATTTCATGACGTATCATAGGCGTGCGGCATTTATTTAGAACGATAATAATAATGTTTTTATATCACAATAAATGGATTTTACTATCTTCTTATTTTTTTGATTTGGGATAAAAAATACTTATATTGGGAGTTTAACTGAAAGTTAAGAAATGGAAAAATTACAGAATTCCAACGTTTGACATAGGCAAATATTTACATAGCAGGTAGGTATATAAAAAGGTATATAAAGACTTACATTATAGGTATTTATATATCATCCTCGCCTTCGGAGCTGTCGCTAGAGTCATCTTGTAGAGGAATTACAACGGGATTTACAGGAGGCAAAACACAATATTCATTTTCTTTTTCAATAATATGCCTAGAACACTGCTTCCATAGGTCTGTGGCAGCAATATGAGATACTGCATCTCTTATTGTGGCCAATAGCGATTCACTTAATTGAGGGGTCTGATTATGTTTTCTCACTTTTTTTTTAAAGCAGCCCAGACCAACTCAATCGGGTTAAAAATGCAGTAATAGGGAGGTAGACGTAATACTTGATGGCCATTTTGCTGAAGCAGATTGTCAACAACATACTCTTTTTCAAATTTTTGTCTTTTAATAAGATCCAATAATATGGCTTTGGTTGATTTTTGTGGTATTTCCTTTCCCTTATCCTTCATAAAATCAATAATGTCTTGTTTTTTTGTGCCTGTATTCGGAATTTTGTTTTTCTGTCGGGAATGGTATGGCGCATTGTCCATAATAATCACTGAATTTGGGGAAATGTTTGGTATTAACTGCTGCTCTATCCACTTTTCAAATAAGTCGGAGGTCATGTCCTCATGATAGTCGGCACATGATTCTTTGATACTTTTGGCAGATAACAGCAAGGCATTAGGTATAAATCCATTTTCACTGCCAGCATGGAGAATAATGATTCGTTTTCCACGGTTGCATGGTGCATTTAAAATGCACTTGTTGCTGTCGTCAACCCAGCCGTACTGCACAACATCGTGGGTATCATACCACGTTTCATCCAGGTAAATCAGATTTCTTTTCTGCTCTCTATAGATTTTAACTTTGTGCAAAAGTTCTTGGCGCAATTCAACGATTCGAGACGACTCCATAATCACCATTCATTTATCTAATTTTTTGTATTGAAAACCACACAGTTTTACAATACAGTG